CCAAAAGCTGTAGTCCCTGGAGCAGGATGTGAGCCTCAGTGAGGGTCCTGAGCACCAGGAAATGTGCTGTGACCCAGCTCTCAGTCAGAGCTACAAACCTGAGGTGCTGGAGCAGGAGCTCAGCAGTAAGGCACAGTTTTGTCCAGCACAAGAGCAGCAAGATGCTCATGGCCAAAGACAACCTGCTGCAGAGCAAGCACCTAGGTCAGACCTGTACTCCTGTAATTCCTAAAATCTTCAGCAATTTCTTTATCAGTGGCCGCCACAGCAGTAAAGACAAAAACAATCCCTCTTGCAACTGAGGCAGAAAAGGCAATAGCAAATCTGAAATGCTGTTATACATTTCCCTCTGCTGGCCATGGCGTGATTTTGGGTAAGTTAAAAAAGTGTCCCCACAAACTTCCCCCCCGCTTCAGCTAGCTGAACTCTTCCGATCTGCTTGGAGCTCGTCCCCTACGAGGAGGTACATTTTGTCCAGTTTCACTATGGTTTGCATTCCTATTCATCATATCTTGCCTAATTTCTTATTAACCCTGGGCTTCACATCCCTGCTCTATACTGAGTTATTCGATGGCTAGAGACCTTCTCTGTTACTTTTTGTTGGGCTGCCTCTGTCCATGTAATAATAAAACTCAAGGCAAAATGACACAGTGTCCTGGTGTATTGCTGCAAGCGTGTTCTCAGCCCCACTCCAAACGACCAGCCAGATGATGTGACAAGGTGCAGAGGACCAGAAGGTCTGTCTCTTGCATGACACATGGCCACATTGCTCCATTTATCAGGGTTCAAGGTGGAGGCAGGGACGGAAAGAGAGAAGGGCTTGTCTGGGGCAGATATCCTAAAGGTGCTGCTGTTCACCACCCAACTCTTGTTACATCAAACAAACCTCAGGTAACATCAGGCCAAGGCACGTTCCCCGGTTTCAGAGGTGTTGGGGTTTCATGTCCCAGTCCAGCTTCAGTGGCATTAGTGGTGCCTGCAGCGTCTGCTCTGCCTCTAGGGACCTTCCTCCTTCTCCTCCCTCAAGCCCTTCTGCCCCTGTCCCACCACTCTGTCCTTCTCTGCGAGAGCTGAGACATCCCTAAAACAAAGCAGAGCCAAAATACTGCCCTTGGCAGGCTCCCCTCAAACTGAGCTGCCAGTCAAATGGGAGGTTTGGAGGTACCTTTGCAATTCTGCTGAGGCAAGTGGGTTGCTCTGTGGGCAGAGGTGTGACATCCCGGTGAGAGACGTCCTCAAAAAAGAAAAAAGGTCTGCATTAACACAATGGCACGACCAACCTCTGAACAGATCCCTCACAGCAACCATCTGCTCTGGGCATTTTTCACATCTGCTGTGAAAAGAATAAACAGCTGCTTAACACTGAATGGGAGGGATTTGTCTTATTTAACCTCACTTATTAGTACTCTGAGAAGCAAGGGAAATGGGGAGGATGCTGTGAAGATTAAAAATCCCTTTTAGCCATAGAAGTCCTCAAAGGATGGAGTGCAGATATATTAAACACAGAAAACTATTATTCAGGTATATCTGATCCCAGCAACAACCAGGAGGCCAGCGATAGAAAGATCACAAGCACAGTGTGCACCATTAGAGCCATTTTCAAACTTAGTTCAGCAGTTCAGGGAATAGGGTCTAATCCAAAAATGTAGATAGGAACATGGATAGTTTCGAAAGCATGGGCAGTCTGGTGAAGTCAGTGGGGATTATTATGAGGTTCAGATGTGTGCTGGACCACCGGGCAGGCCCAGGACTCAGCATCCTGCTGGGAAAGTGATGCTTAGCCTGTTTTTCTCCATACTATCTTTCACTTGCGCCCTACCAGAAAAATCAGCAAATTATAAATGCACCCCCACCTTCTGCTCTGTGGTCAGTGACACACAGCACACAGACACCTCACTGGAAAATAAAACATCGCTCCTCTGGGACACCCCAGAATTTCACAATTTGCTGTGTGCTGAATCAGAACAGAAAAATCAGCGTTTCAAAACTATCCCTACATATCCATCTGCCTGTCCATCCATCATCTTCTTATCCATATTCTTATTCTGCTGCCCTTTGCAGCACCGATAAAAGACGGGGTTCAGGCAGCCACTGAGTCTTGTTAGGGACATGACTGCTGCCCTCAGAGAAACGCTGAGCTGGGCTGAAGCTATTCCAGCACCATATGCTGCCAGCTCCGGGTGGGAACAAAAGTGAGCTAAGGAAGAATGTCCTGTGCTCACCTAAATTGGCCTCTGGCTCATTTTTGTTAATTATATACTCTATTCTGAATAACACTGTTTTTGCCATCAGGAGTATCGTATTTGAAGTTAGGAGGTTTTCTTGGTTCCTTTTTAACAAGAACATTATAACACAATCACCCAACTGAAACAAATAGCTATTTAAGAACCCTGGGAGGCTGGGAGGCGTTGGAAGGGAGCCGGTCTCCCATACAGGGTACGCCCTGCGAGGCGCCTGGTTCTTCTGCGGCGAGATGCTCTACAGGCTTGGCTGCCCCATATAAGTGGCAACTAATCCCACCAGCCACTCCATCAGTGTTTGCGGCCGGCATGGATTCTTGCAAAATGATCATAAGACAACCCCCCCCAGCCACTCCATCAGTGTTTGCGGCCGGCATGGATTCTTGCAAAATGATCATAAGCAGTTTGCCTCTGTCTCTTTGCTCGTGGGGTCCCCTTCAATGTGGCTGGCTGGAGTGATTAGGCAGGATCAGACCTCAGAGGCTGCATGGTGGATCGGTGAACGTGCTGTCAGCTGAGGCACAATGGCACACGGCCTCCTGCTCCCAATCATGCTCTAGGGACAGGTGCAGAATTGGGAACTGCAGATGGGTGCAAGCAGCAGGAGGGCAGAACTGCCCCATCAGGCCCCCTTGTTGCTCTCAGGGCAGATGCAGGGAGTGAGCAGACTTGCCTGCACAATGCACATGGTTCTCATGCACTGCTCCTCTGTCCTTCTCCCAGTACCATCCCTAGTTCCTCCGCCCGCCCCTTCAGTTTTACAGACCAGCCTGTGTCTCTCTCACCTTTAGCTCCTTGATGTCTCTCCTGTGTGATATTCCCCCATTCCAAAGAAGCTGAAGGTACCTCAAGAGAGAGAATAACAAAAATGTTGTTTAATCTCCTTAAGGCAGAAGCCAAATTAGAAGAAAGCAAGGAACAATTTTTTCCCAGGGTGCAAGACATTTGAAAAGAATCTGTACTTTGGTGCGTAATGGCTTTTAAAAATCTACCCGTGTCCCCTCTTTTAAAAATGTCTTTGGGAAACCTAAACCCTTGGAGAATTTGGGGGTTTGATACTGTAGCGAACGTGCTTTGAAATTTACTGGTTTGTTTCGGGAACAGCAGCAAAATACGAAAAAGCAAGGCAGGGCTTCAATGTGCGTGCGATCAAAACGCCCTGTCTCTTTTCTGGCATCAACAGCCGAATTCTGCCTGCCCAGTGGCCCAACCGGCACCTGGTCATCCCACACTGCTGTAACTCCTGCGGGTGGGATTACAGACTGTTATAGGACACTAAGCGTACAAGCTCCAGTTGCACTGTAATGCTCTAATTTTAATAATAACTCCAATCTACCATAACATTACAGTTTCCCAAGGCTATCATTATCCCACAGGTGGGGTATAATTTGCACAAGTATAATTTAATCTTGAAAAAAAGCTTAAAAATGAAGTATGGGTAGTAACAATCTTTATACGCACTTATATGAGTATCCCCAAGGTGTTACCAGCACTAATTAATTAGGCTCCTACACCCACTATTATCTCACCTTACAGATGGGCCAGATCAGCAACTCACCCAAGGCTGCACGACAAGTTCATGCTCTGAAGCCTCTCTGTAATGTCTCCAGCACGCTTGTCGAAGCAGCAAGCCTTCCTCTGAACTCCAAAGCAGGAGCCCAGGTGGCATGGCTAATGTCTTCCTTATTTTCTCTGAGTACCAGTAGAGTTTGGGATGAATAAAGAAATGAGTTGGTCTCTAATTAATATACTGTTAAAAGATAAAAAAAGGATTGTGGAGGTAATTACACCAAAAGCTGCCTGGAGCAACCAGATGAAGATTCAACATAAATTTGCCTCTCAGTAGAGATGTTTCTGCTTTTAGTTTTAATTAAAGATCAAGCAAAGTTAAAAGGAAAGTCCTTCATGGAAGACAGTTAATCTGAAAATGTTCTATCATGATTTTTCTCAATGAAAAGCTTATTAAACATACATTTTCTTGTAAAAATTCTCATTTTTCAAACCTCACAATTTAAAAATGTTCTTTTTCTTCAACAAAAACCTGAATAGTACAATGAAAAGTTCCTTAACAAGAAATTACCAAAATAAAGTATATTTTTCAACATCCCCTACAAAGACACCACACAAACCAAGGATTTGGGGATCTCATTGCCATATGCCTCCATTTCACCATTTCCATAGTGCCTGGCAGTCCTTTTGTCCTTCTTCCACTGTGAACAGAAGCCAGATCCAGAGTCCATTGACCTCAGGCCCAAGGTGCCGAAAGAACTGCACAAAAAAAGCAAACACAGATAATCTCTGGTGTTACAGTACCAAGCTCACAGGCCATGCAGATTTCTTACTCTCTCAGATCTGTTCACAATTAGCTCTACTAAATTCAATGCTTCTATCAACATCCTCCAAATTTCACTCTGGTATTGTGTGCATGCCTGTGTACATTATACATATATATATATAAACATATACCTATACAGACACACACATATATATACATATATAAAAATTTGCCCCCTCTAAACACATCTCTATGTTTTACAGCTATTCGAGGGTTTTGGCTTTTTTTTTTATCTTAAATGCAATCAACCTGTAAAATAACTTTACAATCGGATTAGGTGGAACCAGCCAGTGCTTGAATTGCCACATGGAGGCTGCTATTTCTGGGTTAAAATGATAGGTAAGAGGATGATAAGTTAAATAACCCGTTTGAGGACATGAAGGTGCAGCTGGGCTTGGCCAAAGATGAATCAGGACAACGTCCACAAAGGGTGTCTCCTTTCTTTAGCTCCATCAAGGACCCTATAAAAGCGCTCAGGTCCTCTGCTCACTCTGCACGGCTTCACTGGAATCCCATTTAATCCCGTTGGTGATTTGGGTAAGTCATTCTTTTTGAAACACTCATTTTGCTTGGAAAGAACATAGGATTCTTGACATAGGATTCATCTTAGGTGACAATGTCATTCCTGCAGCACTGTTTTCTGGGGTTCTTTCAGGTTTATAGCCAGTAAAATGTTATTTTGTGAGATTTGGACATCTGCATGCTGTTATCGCTGTGCCTATGTGTAGAAGCAGTGGTCCTCTGAGGGAAAGGGAGAGAGGGAGTCAGGTTTTGTGCCTTACTTTGGTCTGGATTCAGCTTGCAGCCACAATGAACAGATTGTAGAAATGTTCAGATTTCTGCTGAAATATCAAGAAAGAGAATTTTGTATACAGAGGGGTGTGTGTTTGTGCATGTGTGTGTATACATTACACAGGCAGTGAGGCAGACAGGCAGCACAGCTTCCCAATGTGCAAGATGAGATCCAGCACCGATCCATCCCGATAACAGGCTCTGGGATCCTGCGAGGAGGAAAGCAGATGGCTTTCAAGGTTTCCAGACACAAAACTCAAACAGGAGCACTGCTTTCTGCTGAGCAGATCACAGCAAAATTAAATAAGTAGCTCTGACCTAGGTGATATGGCAGTTCTCCTCTGGCCACAATCTATTTGCCAATGAAATGATGCTATAATGAAAGATTCATCAGTTGATTTACAATACTCCTGGTCATAGGAGGATTGGCCACAGGGCTTGTTTTAATACTGTATTACCTCTCTACCTGTCTCTAAGCCAGCTAGATCTTGTCTAAGGGAAGGCCACCACTGCATTAGACATCCTCTAACTTGCTCCAGAGAAGCTGGTACATCCTCAGTGGCAGGCAGAGACAGCAGGGTGGGTCCTGGAAACATAAATGCTTGGTATAGCACCATGAGGACAGGTTTTTGGGGTATCTCTTGAGTCATCATTTCTCAGTCCCCTCCCTGTGATCCATAAATGCACACATCCTGCCATCCTATATCAAACGTCATTCGAATATGTCAGTAGATAAGCTGGAGGACACTCCCCATCCCACTAAAACCCCTAAGCATTTGAATTTCTTCCCAGTGCTCTGGGGGGAACAGCGATCACCATGGCACAGGAGCAGATGCATAGCACATAGCAACCTGTCAACGCACACAGCCAGCCTGAGCCCAGCAATTCTTCCCTTTCCATTCATGCTAAGAGACAAACAAGTTAATCCTGTCCTTAGATCTCCTACTTTTCTTGCAGGCTTGCTTGAATCTGCAGGAAGATGTCTCACTTCTTAGACAGCATTTCCACCATCATTAGCATCTTTTACAAACATGCAAAGGAAGAGGGAGACGGCTCCATCCTCAGCAGAAGGGAGATGAAAAAGTTTATCCTGAAGGAGTTTGCAGATGTCATAGTGGTGAGTGTTATTATGAGAGGGAGCCCTCGAAGCGCTTATGGAGGCTGACTGGAGAGTAGTGATTGCAGACACCTCCTCCAGGAGAGGGGATGATTTTCATTACCAGATGGCAGTGGGAGGTGTTTACCAAGGGGTAGCAGCAGATGCATGCCTTTGCACTGACTGCTTTGCCAACTGTTTCAACCAATTCTGTTATGAACAAACTGGCAAAAACTAGGAAAGAAACTGTGGAAAGGTATGGTTTTCTTCCAAAGGCAATGCATATAGTGGAAGGATATAGCATCTCTCAAAAAGAAGAGAACCAGCTGCTTAGCTGTAGCCAGGAAACCACCAGAAAAGTGGAGAACAAAGACATGGCAGCATTGCTGAGCTATAAAACTGAAGCTGCAAGAGATGGAAGGAGAAAATATTGCAGTTACTCCTGTGTTTGTATTTCTCTGGAAAGGAGCAGGAGGGCTAAAATCCTGTTATTGTTTTCCTGTTTTTGTTGTCCCTACAGAACCCACGTGACCCTCAAACAATTGACAAGGTTCTGCAGTTTCTTGAATGGGATGGTGATGGGAAAATAGATTTTAATGAGTTCCTACTTCTGGTATTCAGAGTGGCTAAGGCCTGCTATTGGTATCTGGAGAAGGGACCATGTCTTCTGCAAAAAACAAAGCTAATGACCAGTGGCAAGTCACTCCAAGAGCCTAAAATTGATAACAGAGGGAGCCATCGTCAGCTCCAGGAAGAGGAACCACAGATCTGTGAGAATAATCGCCATCCACCCTATGAACCTGAGACACAACAAGACACCAGGGTTCACAAGCTTGAAATCCTAGAGGAAACAGGGAGTCATCACCAGCAACATAATACACAAAGCAGAAATGATGCAAAAAGAAGCAGCAAATCTGAGGAACCAACCTCTCAAGTATACAAAGAACGAAGCCAAGAGCCATGTGACCAACATAACATTCACCAGCCACATGAGCTGGACAGACAAGAAGATATACAGAGCCGAAGTGAGTCAAGAAAGCCCAAACCACTGGTGTACGAGAAAGGCAGCCACCAGACACGTCAGCAAGAGCAAGGAGGAGATGTGAGGATCCAATGCATGCCATATGAATCAGAAGCGCAACTCAACAAACACAGCAGCTTGCAGGCATGTCAGCCTGAACCGCAGGCAGATGAGAGACAAAACCAAGAGGGGCCTCAACCAGAACAACTGGCAGACATGAAGAGTCACAATGAGCCATGTAAACCTCAACCACTGCCAAACCGGTGGAGTAGTCAAGAGCCACATGAGCCAGCACCACAAACGAATGATCAAAAAAACCATCAGCCACAAGACCAAGAGGCAGTGGTATATGGAAGGAGCAGCCGTTGGCCACAGGAGCCAGAACAAGAAGCAGATAGAGGAAGTCACAACCAGCCACATAAGCCTGAATTACTCACAGATGAGAAAAGCTGCTATCACCTCCATGAGCTAGAACAAAAAATATTTGAATATAGCAGCCGCCAGCCACATGAGCTGGAATGCCTGGATTTGGAGAGCAGAAGTCATCAAAAACACAAGGAAGAAGAAAAGGCAGATCTAAGGAATCAAAACCTGTCACATGGACCATATCCTCACAGACACCAATATAGCAGTTATGAGTCTCAAGAGACCGAACACCTGCAATATGAGAGGCACAACCACAGATCATCTGAGCCAGCACGAAAGAGAGATGAAAGGGTTTGTGGTCCATCACGTGAAACAGGGCCTCCAGTGTATGAACGTAGCCAGTATCAGTCACTTGAATCTGAACGAGTGGAGAATCAGAGGAGAAGCTGTCAGAGAGGTGAACAAGAAAGACAAGTAACTGTGAGAAGCAACCAACAGCAATGGGAGGATCACACAGTGGAAAATAAGAGAAGCCTCCAGCTACATGAGCCAGCGGGCCAGGCGAGGATCGATCGCCAACGCGAGCTCGCAGCTGACGTCTCCGAGAGCAGCAGACGCCAGGCACGGGAGAGAGGAGAGCGAGCTCCCGCGAGCGCCTACGAACGGACCCGCCGGACCGCAGAAGAGGCAGCCGAGGCAGACCTGAGGGTTTGCCGTGTCTCCCGCGAACCGGAGCCACGTGGCGACACAGCAAGGAGGGACCGTTCCCAGGAGGGCGAACCAGCAGAGGACGAGAGGAGGAT